AGAAAACCGAAAACGAAAAGGTTGGGCAGTAAAAAAAAAAAAAAAAAATTTATTTAAACATCTCCAGATAATGAAGTAATACATCTTGAATGATTGAATAATAACTCAATAAAGAAATAAATTGGATGTTTATAAGTAAATAGGTCATTTTTATAACTAAATACGTATGATAAATAAATAACTTAATTATTAAATGTATTTATTATTAATCTTTACACTTATTTATTAAATGTATTTATTATTAATCTTTACACTTATTTATTAAATGTATTTATTATTAATCTTTACACTTATTTATTAAATGTATTTATTATTAATCTTTACACTTATTTATTAAATGTATTTATTATTAATCTTTACACTTATTTATTAAATGTATTTATTATTAATCTTTACACTTATTTATTAAATGTATTTATTATTAATCTTTACACTTATTTATTAAATGTATTTATAGTATTATAAGTGTAAAGATTAATAATAAATACATTTAATAATTAAGTTATTTATTTATCATACGTATTTAGTTATAAAAATGACCTATTTACTTATAAACATCCAATTTATTTCTTTATTGAGTTATTATTCAATCATTCAAGATGTATTACTTCATTATCTGGAGATGTTTAAATAAATTTTTTTTTTTTTTTTTTTTTACTGCGCAACCTTTTCGTTTTCAGTTTTCTTTTTCAAGTTGCCAAACTGGCCTGGGAAACATTTCGCTGAAACCTCACGTAAACATTAAACCGCTCGAGTGAATGGAAAGAAGCCAAAGAGGGCGACTACAAACAGATAAAGAAGAAAACAAGACTGTTGGCGGTTCAGATGAAATGTGAAATCTGCCCAGAGCGAACAATAAACCACAGAAAAGGATCTGTGATAAGAGAGGAAGTGTGTCAGCTCTCTCGTTCCTTCATTCGGTGTAAAGCGCGGAGGAAGACAGCAGCTGATCGAAGCGCTTCCTCGCACCACACTCACCCGCGCACCACTCCACTCGGCAGGTAATTGACCTGGATGAACTTCCCGAATCGACTGGAGTTGTTGTTGTGGGCCGTCTTTGCGTTGCCAAATGCCTGCAAGAGAAAGAAAAACCAAACAGGATGCATGACTTTAAAAAACCAAACACAACTTGTCTTTTTACAAAGCAAGATATGCATATGTGCATTGTTTTTCACATGTGCAATCAAAATATTCAAACTAATCTTTACATTTTGTAAAAAGAAAAATCTTAAATGTGACCCTGGAGCACGAAAGCAGTGTTAAGTCGCTGGGGGATATTTGTAGCAATAGCCAAAAATACACTGTATGGGTCAAAATGATTGATTTTTCTTTTATGCCAAAAATCATTAGGATATTAAGTAAAGATCATGTTCCATGAAGATATTTAGTAAATTTCCTACCATAAATATATCAAAACTTAATTTTTGATTAGTAATATGCATTGCTAAGAACTTCATTTGGACAAATTTAAAGATGATTTTCTCAATATTTAGATTTTTTTGCACCCTCAGATTCCAGATTTTCAAATAGTTGTATCTCGGCCAAATATTGTCCTCCTATCCTAACAAACCATACATCAATGCAAAGATTATTATTCAGCTTTTTTTCATGATGGCGTTTCGAGAAATTGGCCCTTATGACTGGTTTTGTGCTCCAGGGTCACAAATGTATTTATTTGTTTAAATGTGTGTTTATTTGTGTATTTAATCCAAAAAATAATAAAATTTGATTATTAATTACTAAAACATTATTGACTACCAGGTTGCATAATAATAATAATAATAATAATTTATTGTTATTGTATTATTATTATTATTATTATTGGAATCATTTAATCATTTATCATCATCAATTATTTATAATATTATTGTAATTAACATTTTGCATAATAATAATTATCATTATTGTAATCATCTTCATAATCATAATTTTATTGCCATCAATTATTAATAATAATAAATAGAAAAAATATATAATAATAGCTAGCTACACAATAATATAGAAACAAAAATATAATCAAAAATGTCAAATGTAACTATTATTAATTAATCATTATTATTCTGTAAATAATAATTAACAAAAATTAACAACAGCGAGACAATAATAAATGATTAAACTGCAAACGTGATAGATATATATTTTATTATTATTTCTGTAAATATCTATATAAATAAAAATATAAATATATAAATTATTATTACTAATCAACAACAACAACAAAATCAAATTAACAACAGCGAGACAATAATAAATGATTAAACTGCAAACGTGATAAATATATATTTTATGATTCTTTCTGTAAATATCTATATAAATATATCTTTATTACTAATTATTGATAAAAAAATAGAATAAACAATACAAATAGAATAAAATGACAGTAATAGATAACAAAAATGATAAACTATGTAATTCAAAACATTTCTTATTGTTTTAATAATAATAATAATAATAATAATAACGCTTAATTGTATGTAATTGATCAAATGAAATGATAATAATTAAACAACAATAAACAAATTAAAAATGCAATAATTATATTACTAATTATTAAAACATAATAATTTTTTTTTAAATTATTATTATTTTAATTGTATTTTTAATTAATGGATAAATACATTTTTAAAATAAAAACAAAAGCAGTTTCAGATGCAAATAACTGCAGACACTCGTCATCTGAGTGCAAAGCTCTTTATTTGAGTGAATCTGCCTGAACGTGTGGGACGCTGGTTTGATGTTATCACAACATCACCTCCTCCTCCATCGGTTCACACCTCCAGTGTCGGGCGGCCCATCTGTGCAAAAAACAGTGACAACGAGGCCCTGTGATTAACGGGCCGCTGGCGTGGAAAGCGTCCCTCAATGCGCCGCAGTGTTTGCCGAACTCGGCCAACAAAAGGCCTGCCGCGGGGAAAGTGGCTCTGCGCATGTTAAAGAGGGCGGCTTTGTGCCAAGACAGCAGTGGAATAACGTCCCGCACCAGACGGACCGGGGGAGGGGCACTAACCTAATTAAGATTCTCCACGCTCGACCTTTGACCCGTTTCTAAAACACACCGCTAAATATTGGAGAAAGCTGGAGCAGATACTGTAACCAATCAGAACCTATCAGTGCTTAAAGCGACAGTACACCCAAAAAAATGACGATTCGGTCACTACTGACTTCATGACGTTACAGACCATGTTGTTTTTTGTAAATATATAAATAAAAATAAACAAATAAGTAAACCAATAAAAAAAAAATTGTCTATAGAAGAAATAGAACATTTCTGGAACGAAAATAAATAAATAATGAAAAAAGTAAATAAAAAGAACTTAATAAAAATAAATGATAACAAAATAAAAATAACAAAAAATTACTTGTTTTTAATAAGTATTAATAATAATAATAAATATAAGTAAAAATATAAATGATAATAGACTATTTCATTTTTAAAAATAATAATATTTTAATATTAAAACATTATGATTATTATCATTAGTATTCTGTAACTACATGATGGACTACATTAGTAGTCAATACAAAGATGAAAAAAGAGGATGATTAAAAAGATTAAGATTAAAGAATTATAAATAAAAATAATGATTCAATAAACAAAATAAATAAATCAATACATGGAGTAGATGATAAATCAGTAAATAAAAATAAAAAAAATAAAATAAATAAATACTAAGTAATTAATCAATACAAATAAATAAATAAGTACCCAAAAATTATGAAAAATAAATGTTAATAAAAAAATAAGTATGATAAATCAGTAAATATAAATAAATAAAGATTAAGCAATACAAAAATTATGAATAAAACAACTAAATAAATAAAAAATAAACAAGTAAATGATAAATCAGTAAATAAAAAGAAAAATTAACAAAGTCAATAAAAATAAATAAATAAAAATCAATACGTAAAATAAATAAACAAAAAATAACTAAGTAAATAAATTAAATTAAGTACATAAAATAAATAGAATGAACAATAAAATAAACAAATAAAGACTAGTAAATCAAATGAAGTAAATAAAAATAAAAAGAACAAATTAAATAAAGTAAGTAAAAATATCTATAGCAGAAACAAATTGTTGGGTGCAATATTTCTTTCCCAAAGCAAACTAAATGAGGCATTTCACCAAAATGTCATTTTTTCCCCTCATCTTGACTTTAAAATAGATTGGGACTGAACTCGTGGAAACGTTCAGTAAAACTCATGAGATCCACAGAAAAAACACAGAAGTGAAAGATCTCTCTCTGAGTCTGAAGTCTGTCAGGAACGGAGCAGACCAGCTGTTTTGGTTTGACAATCACTAGATAAACAACTCGTGCAGTCAGAACTCAAAACCACAGTTCAGACTCAGACCTGTCCTCCCAAGCTCCTGCTGATTGGTGCGGGACTCGAGGCCAACCAGAGGCTATTTCTCTGTCAGAGTGTCGCAACAGCAGCCGGGAAAGGGAATAATACGGGGCAGGGGAGAAGACCGAAATCTGCAGACCTGTCTGGACTATTTCTTATTCTTCGGTGTTATTTGGGAGTCAGCTTTCCACAGATTTCCACGACGAAGCCACGAGGCTCTGCTTCCGCATCGAAACTCCAACTTCGACAACAATAAATCCCATTTAGCTGAACTGGCTGCTCGCTATTTAGCAAGCGAGCGGCATCAAAACACATGAGCCTTCGAGTCGCTCGGAAAACTCCAACACTGCTAGTGCTGTGTTCAAAATATCGATACGACGATGTATCAGCTGGCCCTGTATCGATATTGTGGCACGTGTGCAGCAGTGGACCGCGCTTAATTTGTTTAAAATTGTACAACGTTTAAAATTGAGTAGAAAAGTGCGAGGTTTCTAAAAAAAGAATGAATAGAGCATATATAGGCTACAACAAGGTTTAATCTGGCCGCAGAGGAACACAACTGGGTTGCCTGATATAAAGAAACGTAATCCCCAAAACAGAGCTTTACACTTGCGCAATACGGAAATATCTGCTAAGTGTGCTACTTATCTTTGTCAACCTGGCAACCATGTGCACACGCGCTCTCTCTCCACTGTGGATAAACGCGCTTGCTTTCTGAAAAAAGCGGGTAGCTTGCAGTTTAGCGATCTCCACTACAATAATCTATCCTCAGAAAAGTGTAATTCATCAACTGTTCATTTACGACACACACACACAGAGAGAGAGAGAGGCTGTGTATGTATGAATTACCACCGTTTTGCCGCGTTTCTCTATTAACAGTAAAGCTGTGGCTTTAATTCCTTTAGAAACAATGATGCTACCAGCTCCTTGTTGAGAAAGATAATGTAGCTCTTGAGCGATTAAGCTATTTAGTTGATAAAACTGCGGGGCAGCGCTAAAAAGTTAGTTCCTGAATGTCTGAGTGCGGCCGCAGCGTGATCTGTG